TAACCCTATCATGGAACTGAGGCTTGGGGAAGAAATCCTCTCTCAGAAGAGTAGCAGTGATGCACAGTATACTAAAACGTTAATAGAGTTCTTCCTCCCCTTTCTCTCCCTTTCCCATCAAGCCTTTGCCGGGCCCCTTCCAACAGAGTCAAAGGAGCCTCTTTCCGTCCCGTTAAAGCAATGGCTGTGGATCTCTTCCCTCAGACCAGGCATTGTGAGTTACTGATATTCTTTGAAAGGGTTGAATATGCAAACGGGAGCTCTGCTGAAGCACCGCCTGATGCTACTCCAGTCACAACAGCAGGATACGACTCGGAGTGCTTGGATGGCACCAACCCATCCAGCACTGATGCCAGCCAGGCAACTTCTGTACATCTAGATACTGCACTTGAAGAGAGGGAATCAACGTAACTCTTCAGAGACACTTTCCAGAGACTACTTTTGCTTGTTACCTGCTTCAATAACATTGTTTCTGTAACATCCAGGTAATAAATCTCTGTACAACAGAGTAGTTGCAAGGCTTCAAAGTTATTTCGTCATACTAACTTGAATTAAATTTCATTATGTACTATTAGTCCTGCTCTTCTCCTCCTGCCCTCGGGGGGGAAATTCAGGTGAGTGAAGTAATGTATATGGTGGTCTCATCCTTTAAACAGCTGAAACAGCTTTAAATAAAGTATCCCACAGCTATCTTCAGATACAACTATTTAAAACCTGGGCTCGTTTGTAATGCAGCACCATCCCTTCCAGTGCAAGTGTAATACGGCACACTTTAAGCGCTAGTGAATAGCTACTATTTATCAACAACTAAGGTAAGGAGGACCCTGCAGACTGACTGAAGGCAGTATCTAATTCCCAAAGCAGGTAATCTTGTTACAGGGACCTATAACTGTCAGTACTAACTTTTTTCAGCTCTGCTAGCCTGTCAAAACAGTGCCGTGTCTTTTGAATAAGCTAGGAAAGATCTGGCAATCTTAAACCTTCCATAAATCATTCACTTGCTAAATCTTCACTAGAAAGCAATGAACTCATATTCTAATAAAAATGCTACACTTTCCGCAGCTGAAATCAGTTTTATTCTGAGAGTGTACTGTCACTGATGATAAAATAAAGGCTTGGCTTAGATCATTTCCTACAATGTACAAGTAAAGCTGAGATGACTTCACTGTAGGCATGCCCTCACCAGTGCAAACTTACAGCCAGGAATTAACTGTACAGACACCAGTCAGGGCCATCCTTCATGGCAGGAAGAAGTAAGAAATTTTTCATTTTTGATAAAGAAAGAGGCTCATTTTCCTCTCAGACTCTTAGTAAGCCTGCTTAGTGGATACCTTCAGTCAAGTACCTCCTATGTCACAACGAGCTCTAGGGAGTTCCACAGCCTCACTGAGGCTTTTGGACCCTGCAGTAGCTTTAAAAAGGCTAACCTCAGCCTCCTGGAAAACACTTCCATGGAAGAGCCATGTCTAATTCGGTGGTTACTACAAAAGGACAGTATCTCAGGTATCCTCCCAAGTGTTTTACTCAAGAGCCCTGGGCAGCAAGAGAAAGACGCAGCTGCGTTTAATGCAAAACCTTACCATAGTAAGCATGTGTTGCAGACACCCGGGCCGTGACAGTGAGCGCTACGTAACTGAGGCCCAGCACCTTAAGGTGCACTTCCAACGTACTTAGTGGGTGGGAAGACAAACCTGGTTGAGCCTCCTACCCTTGCACAAGTTGCGCTCCGCTCAGGATCTGTACTGCTGCAGATGCTCAGCACCTAGCATTAATTTAATGGATTGTGATCCACACTACAGAACAGACAGTAATACCGGTTGATTGTTAGAAGGATTAACCATTTTAAATCTCAAGTTACTGAACATACTTCTAGTCCACATTTAATACGGACTGAACAAAACCCCCTGCTACTACAGCACACAGACTTGCTGATACCCCTTCTTTTCCTGCCAGGCAGGTGTGTGGCAACAGGTACCAAACCCAGCAACTTTGGGTTGTGTCATTTCCAACCCTGACATCGCTTAAGTAAAAAGTTTGAATTTAATTTCATTCCAAGGGATGTCTACCCACGTAAACATTCAATTCCTTACCAAAAAAGTGTAAGTACTTCCATGACCAACAAGCCTGTACTGATTTAATTTCTGTTTAAAAATACCTACGGCAATCTAGGAATAAAAAAGTTCCTTTTTCTAAGTATGCTTAAGCTATCATAATACTGATCACACTGGAGCACTTTATAATATCAAAGTTTATTGCTCAAAACTAATTGTCTGAAAAATACACATGTAGTACTCAAAAGACCAAACACATAGGATTATATGATTGTGCAGAAAAAAAGCAAGCAGAGGCTCAGTGAAAATGAGGCTTTATAGTTGTACCAATTTAGCACTGGCATCAAGCAACTGCACCCAACACGATCCATACAGCAACCATTGTTACCTACTTGGGCAATAAGAATGAATTTTGTTTTTTCACTTTCTCAGATACACATCAGAATACTGTAACTGATCATTTTATTTGGTTAACAACAGCATGGCTTCTTGCACTTCACATTTCTTCCCACGGAAAGTTAGGAGGCTATCACTTCCTGAATTTTGCTCCAGAACCAAAGTACAGTCTAGAGAATTAATAAGATAATCATGATGCTTTTAAATACTTGGATGTTACAAATATTTGTATAAAGCCTAACAGCATCACAGGAAAGTGGAAGTTTACATACAACAGTTAAGTTTATGCATAATAGTCTTTCCAAACTTCTGAGTACCCAACTACTTCATCAGTTTTGTTTAATAAATATGTAAGGAAAAGCTGGATGACTGGTGTTTAAATAGGTAGCATCTGACTATTCACTGGAAGTCACAGTAAGTTTTCCATCAGTACCATAAAGATTTGAATGCACACTAATTTAATCCTTAAAGTCAATATACCACACTTTTGTCGAGAAGCACATAATATGCAAAGCAAAAACTGTCTAATTCCCAAAGGATGGAACGGTTCTTAAAAATACACTCCATCCCTATAAAAATACCCATCCTCCTCTGGATATAGAAGGGATAAATAACAAATATCAGTGACAAAAGCAGCAGTTGTTTTATGCATTCATACAATCAAGATCTAAACCTTTACAGCCGATTACCTAGAAAACACACAAGAGTTACAAGACAAGTTTAGGATACATCTTGAATCACACTGTAAGTGTTCATGCAGAAGCTGAAGTTAATGCAATGATCTATCCTCTATCACAGCAGCTCGTGCTTATGTGCAAATGCAAGACTGTTACACTCCAAACAATAGTAAACATTAAAACACAAGAATACTTCACAATGACATAAACAGCAGTTAAGTTGTTTGTTCCAGCAGTTATTGCGCTATTTTCTGGACATCTCTCCAGTTAAAGGCTGCAGCAAGGTCTAATACCATTTTTTTGTTTGTTTGTTTTTGTTTAGAATGCATAATATACGTTCTAGGCTTTGGTTCACAATGAAATCTCTGGATGTTTTAATTAAGGGCAATGGTCACCTTGTGATTCTGATAGTGGCAGACTGAGGTAATACAGCAATCCTCTTAAAAATAATGAAAACAAATTTGTAAGTGAGGCATCTCTGGATATTCTGCAGGTGACCTGCAAATGCATTGACATTCTGATTTCAGAAAAATAAGATCTACAAGGGTGATTTGTCTTTTACAGTGCCATCCAAGTACAGATTTTTCTGCTGAAAACACGTAAGCTGAAGTAAAACCTACCTAAAGGAGTAATACGTTTAGGCATAGAAGATAAAAGCCCTGTCTTTATGAAAACAAAACAAAACAAAAAAATCAGAAAAACAACAAAAAGAGAGACAAACAGTAATCACTGCTTGTCACTACTGCACCAATATTATATACCCTTCAAAAGATGGAGATTTATTAAAGCTATACAAAAAAAAGCAGAGGCAGTGTTTTTTGTTTTTGTTTTTTGTTTTTGTTTTTTTTTTTTAGATAGGCCACTTCTTTAAATTATAGTTTATGTATAGTCTTCCAACTACCCGTATCCTGTTGTAACAGGATTACAACTCGTGGAACTGAAAAGCTAAATATAATAATAAAAAATGGGTGAATTCATATTTGCAGAGACCTCTGAGCATATCACTCAAACACAGAAACAGGTAAGACTCCAAGACTCCTCCTGTTTAACCTCAAACATTTTATGCAACATATTAGAGAACAGTAGTTTGAGATATAAATTAAAATCCACATATTTCCAAAATAATGGGTGATATTAAAAGGAGGTCTTACAATACTGATGCCAATATTGTTAAAATCCAGTAGGCACTAAATTCATTATACTGCAGCACTCTATACGTAACATGGTAAAAAAACCCAACCAAAAACCCAAACAAACAAACAGGACCCCCCCCTCCCTCCCTCCTCGAGCCCCCAGATCACTGTCCAGGTAAGTACCAGGAGCTGCAGCAATTACAAAGAACTGACCTCTTTTGCTCCTACAGGAGTAGGAGTGTAAAATATAGCAGTACAACTCTTGGATAAATCATTGAAGCCCTGCCACCAGCTTGGTTTTGACTCTTTTCCTCAAGAACAAACAAAAGAACCCACAAAAATGGTTCTAAGAGAAGACTTACTGCAAACACCCAGTAAAGAACCCCATATGAAGAACAAAACCCACAAAGCAGTGCTTTCACTACAGCCAAAACTATTCCTTCTGTGCTTAATTTAATAAAGCCTCAGATGACATAATGAGTACTGCCTGTTTTCTAAGATTGTATTTTATAATAGTTGCATATTTGTGATTTTCTTCTTTATCAGTATAACCTGTTATGGTCTCATTCTACTCATTACTCTATGTCATATTCCAAATCTACATTCTAATTTTCATTGCAGAAGTTACACTTTTTCTTTAAAAACTAAAAATGTAATTAAAAGAGTAAAAACAAAAACTTCTTAAAAAAACTAAATTGCTGCAGTTATTTCAGATTTCTAAGGGTTGTGTTGTGTTTGGTTTTTTTTTCTTTTTTTTTTTTTTTTAATTTTTTGCTTTTATCCTGCAAGTTAATTAAGACTTAATTGATCAAGTCAGATGTATTCTGACTCCACACAAATGAGAAATTGTTTTATTGCTGGGAGAAGGGAGTGGAAGGTCTTTAGACACATCATTGGCAAAATATTTTTAGACTGTCAACCACCATCAGCTGCGTTTTGGCTCCAAGCTTTGAAAACAGCCTTTCAAATTACAGTTTTTATTTTAAGCAAATAAATAGGGCCGTATTTTCCCCTTTCAACTGATCTGTAAACTAACATAGGCTCTTTTCAATTAAAATAAAACCCAATAATTTTCGATATCCAGCCTGTTGCTCTTAACACTACCAGGTATACTTGTTCTTTTCAAGTAATAAAAAAATCTGCATACTGTGATCTTGAATAACTAAGCCTGGCAGGAGACAAAAAACAGAACATAAAGAAACAGCATTACTGGCCTAATCCTATGGCATTAGGAACATTGCTCATCAGTTTCATGTATTTGTCACCAAAGTGTCTTATCAGTGCATATTATTATGTGCTGAAATGCAACAAAACTTTTCACAAAAATAGTTTTAGGCATGTTCAAACAAGAAGATGTACATATATTTCTTTTATATATACATATATATGAATGTGTATATATATATAATATCAGCTTCAACCTGTACATAGATATTCTGAATTTCATCCTTAAAACACATCCATTTCAAACAACATGGATGGCTTTCTAGAAAAAAGTGCTTGATTGATTTTATCCTGTGTGAACATGCCTGTCCTCTGTGCATTTGCCCAAGTAGAGATCTTTATGATCAATCCTTTAAACGTACATATCTCAGAGGTATTAAAAAAAAAAAAAAAAAAAAAAAAAAAAAAAGAAAAAGAGAGAATAGGAAAAAGTAATATTGCCCTGATGATGCAAAAAGAACAATGCATAACTGAAGCAGCTTGGATTTTAAAAGTTATCGTGCATTCTGCAGCAAACAATTTTTAAATAATTGTTGAAAATCTAGTTCCTCCATTTGTGTTATTGCTCCCCACTTGTAAATTTTCTCATTACACATCAACAGTACAGAGAGGTTCACTACCAGGCTGAGCCGATTCCACTATTGTCATCTTGGGTTTCTTTCGTGTTTCCTCCTAAAAGAAAATGAAACAAACCCCACCACACAGTCATAAAGAGAATATAATAATAAAACACTTGTTTTAAAATTTTGAACAATTTTAGCCAAACTGGTGTCAATCATTGTGAAAGGCTAACTTGTTTTAATGTTAAAAATAAATTTACTGAAGTGGGTAAAATTAAGTTATAAAGCCAATTTAAAACAGAGGATGAAGATCTCTCTAAAAGTAGCCCCCCTGCCAAAAATCAAGTTTTGAACAGCTCTCTATGTAAGATACTGTATAAAAACAAGCAAAAATTCTGATCATTGCTAAGTCTGACCCATGGCATTCTTCCTGTTTGTAAATACAAAAGAGCATATACTCACTCTTTCTTGTGCCAGTTTTTTCATTTCTTCCTGTAACTTGTTCAGGATGTGCAGATTTGGCTTGTTCTTTTTGGCATACTGCTGAAGTTCTATCACACTTTTATCAGAGGTTTCCTATTCAACAGAACCATAAGCAACAACAGATGAGCTTTTTTGATGGAAAAAACGTGGAGCAGAAATTTAATCTGTGATAGTTGTACTTCCTTAAGTAATAACATATATTTCCATGAGTGAGTTAAATATTAAATAGACTATATAATTTTGACCTGAAAGATGCAGGATTAATGCATTATTGTCAATAGAAGCAGTCATCTTATGTTTTGGCAATAGCAAGGTATGAGAATCAATTCAGAAGAATTGAGAACTGCTCATCAAATGCATACTGCCTTTACCATGATAAGGAACACCACTGTTATGCCAAAACAGTTATCATTAAAGCTTTGTTATAAATAAATTTAAAAACCCAGAAAAATACAAGAGCAAAATACAATCACAAGGTAGGTTACAATCAAACAAAATCATGTTCACCTGTTTAACCATCTTGCTACTCTCTCTACCATACATACGCAAAAGAGAGCCCCAATTTTTCACATGTGGATGCAGTAGCTGTAGGATTTTCTGAGAAGCTAATTGTTTCCCCACTCTCTTATTTTTGCCTGTAAAAATAATCATGAAAATGCATCAATACTGGCACGTTATGTAATTAGATTAACACCGATGTTTACTTGTGTTATTCAAAACTGAGATGCCAGAGAAGAGTAGAATAAGCACGTAACAAGCTAGATAGCTGAACAAGCACCTACAAAATGGACAACAAATGAGAACAGGAAAAAAGGAAGGTATTATCAGAGGTCACACTAAGTACTGTACTTACACCAGCCTCGCACCGTGTGCTTGCCACAAGTCATGACATATTCACTCTTCTGATTTTTACCAGGAATCACTTCAAACTTTATGGATGTATCACCCATTCCATGGTTTCTTAAGAACAAACAAAATCAATATCATATACTAAGTAAAATTACAAACATCTGAAGCGGTTGCCGTTATCTTTGACAGTCATTGCAATGGAATTAGATACTTTAATAATAAATTTTAAGACACTAATTAATAAAGAGTTCTTTTTTAAATCAGCAACTTGACTTGAATGGAAAGGCAAGCCTGTATAAATGAAAAACAAATATATTTGTATGTCCCACAACTAAAACCTAATCTCAGAAGACAAGAGTCATAAACAGCAAATATAAATTAAGGGAAGATACAACATTAAACAGTTCAGTCCACACCACGTCTCTTATAGCCACAGTGGGTGCAGTAAGCTTGGCCAGCCCACAAACGTCCAAGTTACTGACAAACACTGTGGGTACCAGCAACCAAGCAAACAACGTGCCCCAACCCAAACACCTGTACACAACAGAATTTGCTCCTTATTCTGCAGCCTTACCTTTTAAGGCACTCATGGAGAATCTGATATGGAGACAAGAGTCCAGCTTTACTGGTGAGTTCATATACCCGTGAGTCCTCAATACTGATATGGTTAAAATACTACGAAGGAATTGAAAAGAGTTATTGTGCTTTTGTGCAAATAAGACCTTAACACTGTCCTTAACTCTCATTTCTCCTTTGCAACATTAAACAAATTCTGTTACTCTGTGCTTAATACTTAAAGTATTTTTAAATCCATAATGGAGGTATTTACCAACATCATTAAAACTGCCACACCTAATCATATATTTGCAGACAGAAATTTAAATAATTCTTTTAACTCCAACTTTACATTATACAAGATGGACATAAAAATGACAATCTTATAAATTCTTTATCATCCTTTCTCCCTCAGGACAAGATTATTTTATTTGTTTTAACTTCATTATGAAATTCTACTTACCAAAATGCTGTGGTTCAATAAAAGAAAACGTAACAGCTATTGGAACGTTTTGTATTTTATTTTAAAACAATGAAAAAAATTGTCTGCATTTTCTTAATGACCATTTCAATAGTGTAGGACATACAATACAATTTTAAGTTAAAGTAAGTGTACAAACAACTCATTCTGTATATTACACTTTCTAAAATGAAACCATTCCTTTCAGGCCAATCACTGATTCTTCCTTTACTCCTTACTGATGGTCTGTTACATGCTGAATTGAAAGTGAACATATCACTATGAACTAGCTATTTAATATTTCCAATATGTGAAAATATAGCACACTCTCTCCACTTAAAACTTTTCCTTTGATTTTCTCAAATGTTGCTGCTTAAAGTCTGTAATTTTAACTGTCTGATCTGGCAATAAGTAGCTTTCATAGCTAAGTAAAAATGTCTCAGAAGCGTAGGCACTTTTAGTTCTTACTTGGTCTTCTGAGACGATCACACAAAACCAGACAGCATCTAGCTCTGAACTTTCCAAAGCATCAACCAGAGGATTCTGGAAGCCAGGACAGTACAGGCAGTACAATGTCTTGGAACATTTCAGGTCTTCAGTAAGTGACCTGATATTTCAACAAGGGGCTAGTTTTTTGCATCACAGTACATTTTCTGATCAGTTCCAACAGAACAAAAAAAAAGGGTTTTCATTGCCATAGATCTTGCTATAAATGAAGAATTTCACATTTCCATCTGAGAAAACAATGTTATGAATTTTCATTAATATTTCTGACATTGAAGGTGTAATATTTTTAAAAACAGACTCCAATGACAGTCGACAAGGAAGAGTTCAGTACCTCAAGTTCTTCACTGTCTTTGGGCTTCTCCTCAGAGGTCTGTTTAACAAAGTCGGGAATAAGGATTTCCAGTGTAGCTCGAGCTGCAGAAAATGATTAAACATCTTGGTAACATTTACTTTAAACAATGATTGTAAAGAAAAAAACCAGAATGAAGCACTCTTTAAGCAAGCCTCATATGTCCCCTTGAAACATCCACTCATATAACACAACTTCACAGTCAAAACAGGCATCATCTTTTTGTAAGAAGCATATTCACTTGCAATTTTTAAAGAAAAAAAAAAATTCTACTTGTTCAAGTTGATGATGAAAGTCTCACAACTACCTAAATTAAGAAGAAACTGCTTTTTGGAAATGCCTATGAAAGGAAAAAAAAATTATCATCAAGCTTCATTTTAAAAGTGACGTAGAATTCTTAGGACCCAAAATTAAAGAGTTATCATCAGCCCTTAGTTATTACAGCTGAACCCTAGTACTGTATCACTAGGGCACTCAGAACCCTAGTATTGCACGAAAAGCACACCCAGAATTTGCCTAAATTTTCAAAGCAAAATACCTTTTTTCATGCACAAATAATTCTGGGCTGGCTTTTAGTGATTTAGCTACACTGACTTATTTCACAAGTGCAGAAAGTACCACAGGTACATTATACATCTTTAAATTTTGATAAGTTATTTTTTCTTGATCAGACATTTAAACCCGGACATAGTAAGAAGCTCTCATGTATCGGGGACATTCTCATTTAGATCTTCATCATTTACATATTTATTGCAGACTTACACAATTAGAACTAATTAATGAACACAAGTACTTGGAAATCAATAATCACGTAGTTCAGTACAATTGTTTTATTACCAGAAAGAGAACGAAAACAATGAAAAGCTTGAGGGATTTTTTTTGTTTTTAAAGAAGGGCAAAGATTTACCTTTCGCTAAAATCCACACACCAGGTGTTTACATAGCAGGTGACAGTATAAATATAAAACCCCCAACATGTTCTTATTGGTTTGATCATTAGAGACAGACGCTCTTACAGCTACTCAGTATACATCAATAGTTTAATGTAAGCTAACATCTGAAGTTTCTTCATTGCTTTCTATTCCAGTACATTGTTGAACCTTGGGTTGTCAGAAAACCCTATGCAACAGTATTTATCACTTTTACCAAAAAGACACAAGTGTACTTTCTTTGACTATTAACAAAATGATTCCTACTTACTATTGCAAATATGTCATCTTCAAAGCAGAAATGAAAACAGATAAACATTCAGCAGTTGGTATTAAAAAAGAAAAAATGTTACCAGCTTTATTCTTGGCAAGTTTTTTGCTGCTGGCAGTTCCTGCCCCATAAGTTACTCCATCAATAATCACTGAGGCTCCAAAAGGTTCACTTGGGTTCTCTAGAAATGGAGCAGGAAAGAAAAAGAAAGCTTTTCAGAACTCCCAGTGTAAAATACTCATTATGAACATGGAATACCACCACTATAAAGATTTGTTTTCTTCTTCATTTCAACTTCAAGAGGCATGGAAATTGTTTACTCTTCAGAAAGACTGAAAATTGCTTACTCCAATATATGAAAACCAAAGAATTTTCCATTACCACTAGACTTACCACCATGTACTTCATTCTTCCAAAGTAAGGACTTTTACATTTTAAAAGATCATTTGTGATCTGCCAGAATTCAAATGTTAATTCCGAAGTTTTTGCATCACTAACACATTGTAAATACAAGAGCTATACATTCTGATATTGAAAATTCAGTTACAGTATGTAATGCATATATAACGTATATATAACATAATTCTGAATAATTATAGATTCCACACTGAACTAAGATGCCCAACTTGTAATTCCTTGGATGCTGACTGCAGGACTTAATCCTTTCAAGCCTGCTGTTGAAAAAGGTGTAATTTCTTCCTTCTCTATAAGGTACCCCTAAAAAAACCAGCAAAAGCAAAAATGCAAGGAACGTATGGTATACCACTTCATAAAGCAATCTCAAATGCAGCTAGATAAAGCAATTTGACTGGAATTTACAGGAAAAAAAAAATCCAACATTATTTGATTCCAATTATAGTTGCCATACATGCAACATTTTTAGATTCCTGATTAAGCATCAAGTGCATTCCCCCCAATATTTATCTAAAATAAAATTCTCCCCAAGTTTTTTGTTTTTCTGAGAGCTAGCATCATTTACACAGTTGCAGTACAGCCTAAATTAGGAACTACCAAACTACCTCTTACACCACTGACACAGAATAAAATTAAAAGCTGTTTAAAAACACAAACAGATATCCACATAAATCCCACACTAATCATGGAACAACATAGTCTCAGTAACTCTTTTAGTTACTTTTAGTTCAGCAGAGTGACGCTTCTACTTCTAATCCTATGAGGAAAACTAGTCAACATTCATGACAAATCAATTCCTACCAACTGCATGAACCTTTTGCAATCCGCACCTAACTAGTAATTTCTCCACTAATATTAACTATAATTTATTAAGGACCTTAGAGAATAGTCACATAGGACAAATAGTCTACATAGCCAATTCTGGTTTCCATTTAAATTTTTAGTATCAATTTATACATACAAAATTCTCTGAGGGAAACTGGATATAAATATGAGCCTCCATGACATAACAATCATAGCATACAGTAACTTGAACAGTTAAAGGATTTTAAAACTCCACATATCTCAAAAAAATACCCTATTTTTTGTCAATTGGAAGAATACCAGAACAGAACAAATCCACAAAAATATCTCAAATTATTGCAGCTTTAGAGAGGGTACATATGTGTCTGCAGAAATCTTTCAAATTCTTCAAACAGCTTCATAATTGATGACCTACACATTTCTCTTCAGAAACTATTTGGGTTCAGTATTTAACTTTTTTTTTTCAGGATTCCAATGATTCACTAAATCAATGCGTGCCTTACAGTTGGATTTTAATGGACATCAATGACAAGAAGATTGAGCAAATATTAATTGTGCACAGTGAGCAAAACTGTAATTGCCCATATTTCACTGATGCGTCCTTTCAGATGCAAATGAGTTGCTCAAATCCATTTTCACTTAGGCATAGTTTTCAAAGTGAAAACCTATACTGTTATTTTAAATGTAAGACTGCTCTTATCCTCAAAAGCCATGTTTAAGATACAGAAAACGTCTCCTAGCTAGAATTTGACTCAAAACAGACTTTCAAGACATTCCCTAGGAAAAATGTCCATCATTTGATTTTTTTTTTTTTTTAAGATATCCAAGCATAACATAAGCCCTTCAAAACAGCATGTGGTCGATTAAAAAACTTAACAGACTTACCACATTCAAAGAAATTGTAAACAGGGCGAACCTTTAGGACTCGTTGCATATATTCATGCAGTATGCAAACTTCAGACTTCCCATTGGGATTAATGACAAATTCTGCAAAAAAAAGATGGGGGGAGGGGAAGACAGCTAAGTAGTGCCAGTCTTTAAAAGACAATTTCTACTACAAAGAAATAAATAAATGACAAATTACTTATCCACGGGATAAGTGTCCACTCAAATTAAATGCAATGCTGTTGAATCAGACATGGATAATTATGACCTCAAAGTCCATTTTCTCTGAAAAAGTATTGAGAAATCAGTCTGAGAAATTTCTATCAACAACTGGAAGTGCACTAATTACAAGTTAAGCAAATATTCTACATTCAATGTTTGCAGTCCCATGGCCTCTGGACCTCTACACACAGCATTTCTGGCAGATAACATCAATTAGAAATCCTCTAATTTGCTCCTAAACACATGTTGTATCTCCCTTCTAACAACAGGCACATAGACTTCAAATCCACAAATCAGATTCACTCCATTCCCCCCCCCCCCCGCCCCATTCCTCTTTAGCAAGCCACAGATCAGGTCACTGTCCCTTTGCCCTGAACGTGCTGTTTTTATTTGAAAGGTCCTTTTTTTCCCCCCCCTGCAACAATATTGTTAGTGAAGAGCACAAACCCTGCCTCGGTGGGCACTACGGCAGTATGGGAGAGAAAGTTAAGACTTAGATAGATAAAGTGCAAGTTAAGTCCTTGATTTAGATAGTTTCAGTGTGGCTCTAAACTTAGAATTTAAGATAGTGTATTAACTAAAAATTCAGCTGCACCTCCCTGTAACAGGGAATGGTCAATATGTAACTCATCAGCTTTAATTCTGTTAAAGAGAAGAAACCCAGAAACACGACAATGTACAAAACAAGAACAAAAAACAGGAACAAGACCCAAACCACAGTCTATAGACATTTTAAATATCAGACTGCAGTTGAACAAACTATTATGGATACACAGCCAACACAGATAAGAGCTAATTCCCCCAGCTTCTCATCAGACACGATATCCATTCCTCACACCACAGGACTCGACTGCACACACAGTTCCTTCTTAACTGTATCCGTCAAACTGCTTAAAATTTTTATTTTTAGTTGTAGGTTTTAATCTGCATCAATCTGGCATTTGTAACCAGTCCCTAATTTGGGACCAATTAGAACTGGTACAAAACTGAGAAGGCAGTAGCACTGAGTGACTAGGCATGATGGTTTTCAGCAACAACCAACAGTAACAAGTAGCTAAAGGTAGTAACCAGTTAACAGGACTGCAACCTGGAATAAAAATCCTTTCATTTAGGAATTATTTTTTCTAATAGGAAGTACATTTTGACAGTATTTTTCCGTTACTATTTAATATGATGGATCCAAGAACGCAGAATTCTAGAACAAGAAGAAAGTAGACTTATTACAGGATTTTTTTCAGTCAAGCTTAGAACTGTAATTAGTCTTTGATATAGAATAATTGAACTACAGGTAGACAAACTAACCTTTCTTCGTAGGTGCATCTTGCACAGACAAGGTAATGAGTTTCTGATTGGCAGGTAGAATAGGCCGCTCAGATTCTGCCTGCTTCCGCTTCATTTCACGATTGAATTGCCGTCTCTCAGCCCAGGTTCTGAATTTTTTTACGGTAACTTGTTCAAAATCAAAACGCTTTTCAAGATAGCGTCTAAAATCTTCCAGATCTAAGAAGCACAAGCAAGTTACTCTCTCTACTTTGCCACTGAGCAAGCATTAAGTTCACTATTTCCACTGTTTTAAACATGTTATAATTTTTTTTTTAGACTAGGAGCAAAAGTAACATAATCAAGGTTAAGACACTATTTTATACTAACAAAACTAATTACAAGTTTTCCTGTTACTGGGTCAAATGCAAAACACTTGTGCAAACTGGAAAACAAAACAAGAGCATTTTATTCTGTCACTTAAATATTTTACTAAGCCCTAACCACCATAATACCCAACACAATTTGTAACAAAAGCTAGTAAGTGTTCTACTTCATCACCTATTCACCTTCTCATTACCTGAAGCAAGGTATACAGTGAGTAACAGTAGTTAACGCTATTAGCCTCAGTTTCCTGAAGCCTAAACTGACGATTGCTGCCTATTTATTAAACAGTGCACCATGAAACACTATATAATGATGCTCCGTAAGTATCTGCTGGCCTCTAAAGAGAATTTAACACGTTCATTTTCACATACAGAGTACTAAAAGATTGCCCCCCTTGAACTACAGCTGCTTCTCCTTTATAGGATATTTCTGCAGATACGATCAGCAAAAATAAAGAATAGCATATGAAGATGTAAACAAACAAAAGCAAGCTGCTGGTATTGTTTCCTTCCACAAGGAATTCCAAATGCAAGTCACGCTTATACTTGATCACTCAGTATTTTTTTCAGTAATACAGAACAGATCCTATTTAAAGAGAGAGATAGACAGGTAAACTTCACGTGGAAAGTAAGTGCTTACTGGTTTTAGTTTTGCTCCTAAATATTGATGATTTTTTTCTTCCTTTTTTTTTTTTTTTTAAATCTTTTGGCATGGTTATGGGACTGAACAGGACACGTGTAATGACAAGGCCAAGTTTTGTGTTTGAACACTACAAAGTTAAGTGGTAGCCTACAATCCATATCAGTATTCTAAGCAGCAGTAATTTACATGGATGGTACTCTCAGGTATGTAGTTGTGGTAAGTGGCACATGACCTTTCTGTCCAAGTTCCTCTGTAAGTTTGGCAGTGACTTTGGCGTGACTTCTTCAGGCAGCTTTTTGTGTAAAAGCTATCACACTTGCATAAATAAAATAATGAAGCATCACACCTCTTTGCATGAGTGCAATTATATTTGCATGACTTACTCTGCTAAACTTGTGCAAATAAGCAAATTTAGTTTAACTGCACCATTTATCTTAAGAGATCATACTGAAAATAGATATAATTCAGCAAATATAGAGACTGCATAGAAAAGCTCATTTAAAGAAGTCACACAAACACACTTGACAACAGCAATTCATATGTACCCATTGACTTAATTGATTCTTAAACTGAGGTAAAGCCTACAGGACTAAACTTCCAAAATTTTCACATTTTTGTGTGCAAAACCTTTGCACGTGGACTCCTAAGCCTTCAGAAAAATTCTCCACTGTATGTTTCTCTTCCTGTTAAAATCAAAATTTATTACTAATACTGGATCTATTTCTTCAGATCTCTGCATACAAAAAAACATGCAGAAAGACAACTGACCACGTGATCTCAGGCAAGATACTATTCAATTGCCAACTCTGGAATAAAGCATATGTAACCCAAATGACATTACCCCAACCCCAGCCAAGAAAAGACTCCACTTGCCATACATACCTACAGATTCATCTTTACATACTTCAACTTTGGCCTTAACTTGTCCTAAGGCTCCTTGTGCTGCATCTCCCCCTGAGGGGTCTTTATCATCTAAAGGCCCAGAATCAGCAGCAGTAGAATCTGGTTCTTCTGTTTGGCAGTCCAGTTCTGAAGATTTATCTAGGTGCTTTACAGGTGATACTTCCCCATTTGGGGTTATGTCATTGTTTTGTTCCCTTTCCTCATTTTCCTTCATTTTTTTGTAATGCAAGCAGGGAATGCTACTAAGGGGAGGATCATGTTTCTGCAAATACAGAATAATGCAGAAGGTTTCAGTACCTCAAGGTCACCAAAAGCAAGAGCAAAACTCAAAAATAAAAGATGTAATCAAGATAGAAGTTACTTTTATTTAGTCTAGGCTCAAGCTTCTCTTTGGTCAGCAATCTTACTCTACTCAAGATCTGAGTACATCTAATCCTACGGTATCTTGGCACTGTGTAACAGTGATACTAACCTTCAAAGTGCGTTCGCTGTTTTAGATCCAAACTATATTCTGTTCAATTACATGCAAATACTACATGCTTTCATAAAATCCATTGAGCTCTCTTGGGGTTTAAGCCCATGACATTAAATCCAATTTCTTCAGATTCCTTGGGTTCATGAACGTCACATGCTTACTTCTGTAAACGTGGACCATAAGCCGCAGCTCAGGCTAGTTTATAGCTACAAATAAATGCTCTAAATATATTTCATGGTGGAATAAAACCAGCATTTTGCAGCCATATGCTAGAACAATGAAGGCACCAAATAAGACCATCTCATTAATTTTAACTGCCCAAACTCATTGCAAAAATAGAAAAAGAAAACACCGCAAGAAAAATTGTATCATATTTTCAGAAACAGAGGAGTTTATTTTTCAAGTACCTTAATTCTAACACTGGAAAGAAGCCTGCTAAAGTAGAAAAATATTCAACTGTTTGCAAGAACATGTCTAATTTTTAAATCTCAGTAAGTATTTAAGTAATTGACAGCTCTCACCCTTATGCTTCCTGTTCCCAAGAAATAAGGTCTAGACCAGGTAACAACTCTAGATTCTCTGTGCAGATATACAGGAATGCCCGAGTTATGGAATGTCATGATCCATCCATCTGGCAAAGGTTCTGTAGGAGGGCGGCCACGACCTTTAAAGCAAAGAGTGGCTTTAAACTTGGATAGACTGCTTAGAAGAACAGAAAAAGAATCAAGGTTTTTTATTTTTATTGCTTTTTCTGTCTCAAAGGATAAAATGACACTGAAACAAGACTTTGGTAGAAAGATTTTGTTTTAATAAAAAGGCATATGCTTCTAACCCACATTAAATCCTGCAAAATTATAGATTCCATTATGTCTTCAACTGAAAAGCAACAGTAGCACTAATTTTATGCAGACTGATTTGTTCATTTCACCAGTGAATCTTCTCTTTAGTCTTTATGTATTTATATCATCACAAGCACCACTATATTTAATGGAAAAATCATACTTGCTTTTGAAACAACTGAGTTTTCCATTAAAAGTTTTTGCACTTGACACTCAGGGATAAATTTGCACTGAGACACCACTACACCCACAGAACCAAACAGCCAGCAATGAGTTAGGCTGTAAGCTAAGACTCTCCTATTATATTTTTCAGCATAAGCACAACACAAACCAGGATCAAGTCTACAAACCTTTATACTTAAATATCTTAGCCATCAAGAATACTACTTCTTCCAGAAAACAAGACTGAAATTAGAGTACAATAAGCCAATATGAGGAATCACATAGCAAAAGAAACAATATTGCAGTAAAATGCTTATGCCCGCATTCAAGTTAATAATACACAGCCTCACTCCTTTCTATTCCAGAAATCAGAGAATGCTCTCACTCCTTTCTACATCAGAAATCAGAGACCAGACTCATCTTAGCTGGGAACTTCCTGGCAATCCTGTGTTAGTATAAAATTTTTCAGGGAAAAACTGTTTGGTTTCTTATTTCAGAATACAGTGAGGCTGTAAAATACTCCTCTACAGCAGGTTCAAATTTTAGTTCTACTTCAGACTATTTTCAGTTACATTCTTCTGGATTGGTTCACGTTCTCAGCTCTTCTTTATTAGCAGTTTGTAACATTTACACAATGAAACTGGATAAATGTAAGCCATTGACTTTCCTAATGATTTTTTTTAACCTAGTATTGCATGCATAAAGGCTTCACATAGAGCAATTTCAACAACAGAAGTTATATAACTAAAGTAGGAAAAAGTCCACAATGACTACAAACAGTCTTCAGCTGTTTCACTGTACTGGAGACAAAAAACCAGACCATCCTTGTTCACCTCGCCATCACTGAGGTAACGTTCTTCATAATTTTTCACAAATCCACACACTAAAATACAGTCACATTACGTACAACAGAGGAAGACCAAAAGCACTCCCCAAAATCAACTTCACTATTCAGGAACATGAAAAATCATATCCTATAGTAAGAAGCCTTCAAACAATAAAATTCTGTAACATACAAACTATTTCACAAGAATTGCTATCCTAAACTTTGCTTGCTGATATACTTCTGTTCTACAGACATAAGCCACACACAAAAAAGTTATAGATATTTAATGAACATTAACTTACTTTTAAGTACAGTTTTAATTTTGGTCATCATTGGCTGTACACTTGTTTCTCCATCAGACTGGTGATCACTTTCACCACCATATTTCTCATTTTCTAGTCTCCTTGTTTTGGGTGCTCGAAGACCCTCTTCCAGCAGAGCATCCACATCATTATCAAAGTCATCCTGAAAGAGACTTCATCAGACACTATCCTTCTGGGTCTACTAACTTCCCCTTCCCCTTGCAAAGAAAAAGTATACGCAGAGAGAAACTAGAAATTTCCAATGATTCCAGTAAAAAGACTGAAAAATAAGAAAATAAGTTTTTGTAAGTCAGAACTGGTATTTTTCAGGATAAAATGAGCTGCGATTGTGCAAGAAGCCTTTTAAATGTTATTTTTAAACAAGACCATAGAATCTGCCACACAACTTGGAAGTTTGACCAAGATAATTTACAAAAGTTTACAGCCAATGTTCTGTCTCTGAAAATTCTGCATTTTTGACTCAAGTACTGCACATTTCTAGATAAGACTGTTTCAGTGAACATCTTTGCATATTTTTTTTCTAGCCACTTGGAAACCTCTTACACACCAAAAACCTGTGGATTTTCTTACCTCATATGAGTAATTCAAGGTTTCTTCATCCACTTTATCTCTTTGAACGATTGCTTTAGATGTGAACCCTCCTCCTTCTTCATCTATTTCCATCAAATTGTCGGTAAAATCTTCTAGCTCATCCAGAACTGCATATTCCACTCTCTTTTCCTGATCAATATCATTTTCATCATCCTTCTTGTCATCATTTTCACCCCCTATTCCTACAGCTTTACCATTACTACCACCGAAAGGACAAACATGCAAATCCCCATTGACATTATTAATACCAAAATCTGTATCTGCCTTATAATCCTGCTCAACTCCAGTGTACAGAACCTTCCTATCTTTGCTTTTGCAGCTTTCTGTAAAGCTAACACTAATCTTTACATCTTTAAGTAACTTAAGATCTGGGGTGAACTTTCGAACTGAAGGTGCATGACGAGCAGTTCTTGGGCTTTGGTCACTATTGTTAGGGTCTATTATAAGACGACTTTTGTAGCAGGCAGATCCCTTTGTGAGAAGCTGTGTTCTGCAGATACTGTGCGTGTCCCCAGCAGGGGTATCTGACTGTCCATCACCACCAGAGCCAACGTCCATTACCTCTGCGTCACTGGACGTTTGCAGGGGAGGTGGTGGAGGCTGTTCATTAGGCGGCAGAGGTGGGGGACAAGTATGATTCTCCACATTCATTTCTCTTGCAGGTTCTTTAGGGAGGGGTGGTACATTTTCATATCTCTCCATTTTTAAAACTACTGTTTAAAAAAAAAGCTTTAATAAATGTTTATATCTATACTCCTAACATGCATGAGTCCATCAAGATTGGTTTATCATGTTCTATTCAATATGCAACACTGATGATTCAGTTAAGCTGACTACATTGTTCTTTTCATTAATGTAGACAGCTTTCAGAATCACTGTCTCAATTATTGGAAATCACAATGCATTCAGCTTAAATAGCTGAAGACTAAGACTGCATCTTCATTGGACAAGCAGGTCTCCCTTTCTTCCTTCAACCTACAAGAAGAAGAAAAAAAAAAAAAAAAAAAAAGTTGCCCAAAAAAAAAATGGAAATAGCACCCCAGGCAAAAAGAAAAAATGTCACTCCTTCCAGCATAAATTTCAAGTAGAAGTAAGAGTGACATTTTTACAGTGAGTCTTGATACCATTTTGAATGAGGCTGAAATTAGATTGTTTTTACTCCTTGATCTGTACACCAGCACAAGAATTTGCTAACACATAGCTGCCTGTATAATTCGTTGACTATCTCTGCTTGGTTAGCAGGCAGGGCATTAAGCATGGCATTTGTAGGGACCAGACTAAAAACTGTGCATTTTGGGGGGATTCTCCCATTATTGAAAATAACCTGGTATTCAAGCCATACTTACCCACAGAGCAGAAAGGATAATGAGCTTACAGTTTAAGACAATCTGCAAAACCAACAAGATTTTAACAACTATGGTCTTACAAGACACATGGCTTTTTGAAAGTGTAAGTTATTAGATATTTTTGAAATCTCACTGGAAGTTTTAACAGGAAATCTCATAATTTACTAAAAACTCACACAAAATGACTCTCTAGATAACCAGATATTAGACATTTGATCTTATATTCCATACTACCATAGGACTATGTATTTGTTATATCTGAGGAAATCAGGTCCAGATACATAGCGTTAAAGTTCAAATGAATTCTGGAAGGCATTTAGAAGCCAATGTTTTAGGTAATTTAACCTGGCAAAAATATTCAATTGCTCTAGGAAATTTTACAGGGGATGGGGCATGTGTGTTTTGAGTTTGTTTGGTTTTTACATTAAGTGGGTTCTTTCTACCATGTCTATGATGGCTTCTTCAATTATACTTTTGTCATCTGTGCAGGGCTATAAGCACCTGGGGAAAGAAAGCTTAATTTCTTACCTGCTATTTGGTTTCTCCAAGTCCCTCCATGCCACCCCAAACCGGGCTTAAATCTTACTACCAGCTAGAAATAAAGCAGCGTTACTCTGCCCAAGACAGCCAGCTGGCTGAATCTGCTCTTTTCAAAGTATTTCCAGGTAGTAGAGAAAGTCTACCCAAGTATTCTAGAAAGATAAGCTCTGAGTCCTTAGTGTTGCTGTATAACATCTGAAGGCAACAGGGCAGAATGTCTGGGTTGTCATGAGGGACTTAAGAGAAGCCAAACATAACTCTCTAACATATCTCTATGCCAGCCTGGACATAACAAACCAACAGCAATATCCAAACACCAACTGGGGCAAGGCAGGAAGCTGGGAATTAGGAGTTATAATGGGATCAATTAAAATTCAACAGCATACAGAAGCTACCTACCTGGAAGCTGGAAGAAAGCAAAGTACACAACAGAGCAAACTCTTTAGTGATTTGGCAATAAAGAAGGTTTTGCTGGGGCAGCAGAATAGTTCATACTTTGTGGTGGTTTGGGTTTTGGTGGTTTAGGTTTTTTTTTAAATATACTCAAAACTGTGACATATTCAAGACACTGAGCTTGACATGCATTGTAGAATTACTAAGGAAAAAGACTCCATTTTGATAAAAGCTCTAAAATAATCCCATCTTCTCTGATACAAACATATTACCTTCCAGAACGAAAACCAGCTCATTCACCAGTAAGACAAGAAGTTCTATATATTTAAATCCATTTCGTTCTACAAGATGATCATACAATCACCCAAGCAGTGATCAATTCCTTCTTCTTTCAACAGGTTCTGAAAACACCTACTGTTATACAGAACACCCCTAGAAATATATTTGTCTAATAACCTTCCCCCTTCCTCTTCTTCAGATTAAAACAGAAAAAAAAATGGTGAACGACAAATTATTAAGTTCTTCAGAACAAATCATTAGTGTCTTCATTGTTAATTCTGAACAAAAGAATCAAAAGTCACAGTACAAGTTTGGTAAATCCTGGAAACTAAATGCCCAAGTAATCTAATTTTTCGACCTTAGAGTCTTTAGAAGACTCTTGAAAAGAGCAAACAGAAGTAATTTACACAGAAATGAAATACTGAAATTGGTAATCTAGAATCTGAAAGAGCGCGACCATCCCATATGATCCAGGAGCTACCTGGTCTATGTCAAAAAGACTATTTTTGACAAATCATAAGACATGATAGTGAATGCAGTTTCCATATCCCTGATATTGTCCTGCTCCTACGCTAAAAAGTATTTTAACACCACCAATGTCAAACACAAGAAATTAATCTTCACCTGCCTAGGTTTGGTAGTTCACTGATACTACACCTCTGCTCTTTGCAGAAAAGGTGTCTTGTTATTCTATTTGAGCACTATTAACAATGAAATTCTTGTTGTCTTCCCCTTTTTGTTGGCCTTAAAATAACGAACAGCATACCAAATCACTGCCAGGTATTGTCTACTACTCAGTACACATACTGTGACCAGAAAAACTACTAGACCAAGATGAGTTTAAACTAGCTTTTGCATTTCTAGCCATAAACCTGCCACATCCTGAGGGTAAGATAACAAGAGTCTGGCAGCTCTACAGTTACAGTGGGCTACAATACCTTCCTATAAGCTACAAAAAGCCAGGGAGCAGCAGAGTAACACAGGTCCAATTCCCATCTACTTTCTTGCCAACTGATGTTACAATATGCCTTTTATATCAAGGGCTGGGGAAAAAAAAAAAAATCAAAACCACACAACAAAACCAGTAAGGATTTTCCCTTAGATAGCAGGTATTTTAAAAGAAAGACAGAAGACACGAAACCTAAAAGGATGAGTTAGATGAGCCTGTAGGTTAAAAACAGCCAAAGGGAGCTTAGATCAAGGGAACCCAACCACCACATATAAAAACAGACTTAGCATACTAGACTATAAAATATTAGAATACAACATAAATTAGTCTGCCTATTGTCATCCTTAATTAACTTGCCCTGAAAGAACAGACTTTATTCTCCAAGGCTCCACCAAGTTCCATCGACGGTTTCCGTAAGGACTCCTTAAAAATATATGGAAAACCGTTGACAACTACAACAGCCAGTACAAAATACTGAAGGAACTCTGGATGAACTGCTGAAAATATGAATGCACGGTTTGTGTTCTGCAGATCACCAATACATGGAAATTTCACATTTTTAATTGCTTGCTCTTATTTTAGCAGATCATTTGAAGAAGTTTCATGTCACAAAGTAAACTCAGAGAAACAGATACACGGTAGACATCTAAATGTAATGTAGTAAACTGCACAGGTCCCAACAAAAGCAGTGTCTTGTCTTGGCTTGGTTGTCTTACATATGTTCTCTGAAGGCAGAAAGAAAAAAACCCACCTACTACTCTGTTTAATAAGTACCACTGCCTATTCCCACAATTAGAACAGGGGTGGGAAAAAGTACACAGAGAAAAGGGTATCTCTTTTCAAGACAGGAAAAAACCAGAATCTTAAAATTTGTAACCAGCACTGCCCAAACTCAAAGAGGAACTCTCTTCCCTGTATAGCACGTCAACAGTCTTACAAGTGAGTTCAATAAAGAACATCTTTGCTTCATGAATACCTGTGTCTGCAATCAGGAACAAGGAACAGCATACCACAGATTCTCTCTTCAAAAAATCACTTTTAGAAAGAAACTGGATTCCTTGTCAGAAACTGCTTACTTCACATTCAGTGGACCCCAAAAGGAAGAGTGGCTCAGAGCAAATTCTCCTTATTCGCTATCCAAATACAGTCCTCCTCCTCATTCCAAATGGCAACTCTGCAGAGCAGAATTTATGACACTGATCATACTTAAAGATCCACTCCGCTTTAACCCTTATCAAAGTAATTCCTCACTCACAATCATCTACTTTCTTTTTGTTACACCCATTGCATCTTTTTGATACATACAGTCCTAAAAATAAGTTAATCCTATTTATTATCAACTGCTAAAAAACCCTAAAACAAGGAGACTGAATTTATTTTCTTCAAATCAGAACAGGAAGTCTTAAAAGAAAAATATTCTGCAAGTTAACTACTACATACAGGAACTCATTTCTCTGCATTATCACCTTCAGAATAAAAAGATTCTGAAGGAAACAACCAGCTTGTGTAAGTCACCAACGCAGTTTAAGAAAACACAGTCAGGGCCCAACCATAACATTATCAGTGGCAAATACAGACAAGGCTAAAGAACTTCTCTAGTTCATAAGACTTAATCCCATTTCAGAACAAAGAGTTCATAGTTTTAGAAATGCATCCTCAGAAATGGCAAAGCAACTGCTGCTTTTATAGCTTGACCAGTTTTCTGGCAGGGTTTAGATGGTTTCAATTAATCGTGTCAAACAGGAAACCATTTTAAAAAAATCTGCAAAACAGAGCCTAGGAAGCAGAAAAAAATATTCTTCCTTTCACATCTCAAATAGCTTCTTCCTTGTAAAGAAAAGCAACAGACACCAAACTCCCTTCTCATATTCTAAAAAAGCAAAATAATCCTGATAATCAAAAGGAACTGTCCAAAAGAACTAGAGACCTAACTCCTTATCCAGAATTAAAAATAAAACCAGTTAAGTTTAACTACCTAAACAGAAGGGAGAAGGGGTACGCTCACAACAGAAAAATTAAAGATCTAATTCCAACATCTCTAACTCGCAACTTAAGGTAGTAAAGAAATTGAATGGGTTCACCCAGCAAGCCCTCAATCCGTTTATGAGGGAGTGATGCCTGGATGTTAGGGGGCCCAGCCTCTCAGCGGGCAGACAGACTTAATATGCAGATAAACCTGAAGCCTAAGAAATAGGTGCAAAAGGGAGAACTCTATTTTTCCAGCCAAAAAAGGTGGAGAAATTTAGAAGAATAAACCTTTTAGAGACTGAATGAGATAATTTAGAGGAAGATGTAACTATTTCACTATTAATAGAAGGAACACGTGAAGAAGAATCCTGAGAGTTAAAGACAGACACGCAACCTTATCTTCACTGTACCAGAACTAAAAAAAGTGAATGGGCGTCCGCACACACGTTGGTGAAGGGCTGCCTTTTCTTCCTAACTTTGTACAAGAGGCGAGACA